TGTTAGAAAAATAAAACTGTCTTAGCTGAAGATGACTCCTACCTTGCTAAAATTTATATTTGTCCTACATTCTCACTGTTAAGAATGAAAAAAATAATACATCAACACTCAATTCTCTTAACAATCTTAAACACAGATCCCATCTATTGGTTACTAATGCTTTACCAACTTTCGGCGTTTAAGCAGTAACTTTCAATGCATTATTTTGCGTTTCAGAGAACCTCTTGTCTTTCATCGTGTAGCCCAACCGCGGCCCATTGATTATTGTGCTGGACTGTTGATCCGAGATTCTGTGTTTTGGGACTTGTTACCGGCGAAAAAAAAAACAAAAGAAAATCGCGCTCCGCAGTTTGGGGCAATGGGTGCATTATACAAATGATGGTAAAATCCCACTATTTGATTCGACTAGTCCACGAATTGGCGGCGAGTGGAGTTGACTAGCTGCCTTCAAAACTCTCTTCAAAATTAGAGACGGCTAGCACAGATAGCACTCGAGTAGCATTGCGTGAAAATCAACAAACATAGCAAACAGCTTAAATCACTAATTCTGGTATTTAACGAAAGTCCTCTTGGACAATGACTTGTGGGAGACAACAAATATGTAAAAAATGCTATATTTACACGTCTCTGATCTTGAATACAAAATGAAAAAAATTAAGATGAATGTGATGAAAATACCCATACAATTTACGTCATCTTTATCACAAATTTGAAACTTATTGGTTTCTTATTCTTTGCCACCTTTCGGCGTTTAACCCGTAACTTTTAAAGTTTAATTAGTTAGTAATATTTTAATTGTTTTCCTAGTCCCCAAGGCGGAATTGCAGTAAGTTTGCGAACTTCCAACGTTAAAACCCAGGGTTCAATACCACTCGGTGGAAACAGCAGATAGCTCAATGTGGCTTTTCTCTAAAAACAAACAAACAATCGTCTTCCTTATTTATATCAGATCTCAGCAATGTTTTAAAATGGCGGGTGGTTTTGTTTGAGGCAAAATATATTGATCCAGAAGACGAACAAAAACTGTCAGAGGTAAGAAAAATTATTGGTGTTTAATAATATTAATAATAACTTTACATTTAACAAATCGTGGTATAGGTGTAATTGTACTTGGAATACTCAGAGTAATAGGTAAAGTGACATTAGTTAATCTCGGGAATCTGATTTCAAAAATTGCAATCCGTTCTACTCTTTACAGCCTTATTACTAATACTACTACTAGTACTAGTACCGAAGTATATAGCAATAATATACTAGTACTAGTCTTAGCCATAGTACTTTCTAAGTTACCAGGGCCGGCCTTAGGCGAGTACTCAGGATCAGGTTCTTCAGTTTCGATACCAGAAGTGTATAGTCGACTCGGCCACTGAGTCGTGAGGTGGTTGCTTCAGTAACCTAAGGCTAGGCCTACAAATTACTATAATAGTATTACCTAACGTCGTAAGTATCGAGATGAAACGTAATAGGCCCGGGCAGAGTTTTTAATCTGCTGTGATAGTGATTTTTCCGTACTGCATTATTGGATGCGTATAGGGTATGCATGCTTTAAAAAGAGAGTTGAACCAATATGTAGGCCATTTAAATATAGATTAAATAAAAGTTTTTAGCAAAATATTAATATTTAGGGACAACAAGGGTCCTATTAGTCCATTTAGGCTGTCCCATCCTCTAAATTAAACTAAAATTATTTAAAAACAACAAACAAAAACTCATACCCAGCCCTTCTCATTCATATAGTTATCAAG